CTAATAGTTCAGCCTGTCCACCCATCTATCCATGTTTGCCTTCACTGACAACGTAGTATTGTTTGTGCAAAAGGGTTCATCTTTGTTGTCTTTACCTACTATGTGCCTCTCTATGTCTTCCCCTTCCTCAGTGCCACTGTATTGATCACTCACATTTGGTACATTGCCCTTCTCTTCACTCAAATCAGTACTTGTTAGGTAACAGTTTTGCCTCCCCTCCCTTCCCACCCCTGGTAACAAACAAAGAAAATTTCCTTCCATATAGAAACTGTTCCTTGACTTTTTACAATAATGGAATAATTATTTGTCCTTCTGTGATTGACTTATTTCACTCAGTATAATGTGCTCCAAATTCATCCATGTTATGCGGTGTTTTGCAGATTCTGTGTTATTCTTTAGGGTTGCATAGTATTCAATTGTGTGTGTGTACCATAGTTTGGTTATCCATTCCTCAGCTGATGGACACCTAGGTTGTTTCCATCTTTTGGCTATTGTAAATAGTGCTGTGATGAACATGGGTGTGCATATATCTCTTGTCCTGGCTCTCACTTCTTTAGGATATGTAGCTAGTAAATAAATGGCTGAGTCAAATGGGATTTCTAATTCCAACTTTTTAAGGAATTGTCATACTGCTTTTCACCATGATTGTATCATTTGCCAGTCCCACCAGCAGTGTATGAGAGTCTAAATCTCTCTGCATCCTTGCCAGCATTTGTTATTTTGTATCTTGTTGAACTTTGCTACTAGTGCTAGGGCAAGATAGTATCTCATTGTTTTGATACACATCTCTCTAATGGCTAATGATCATGAGCATTTGTTCATATGTATGTTGGCCACCTGAATATCCTCTTTGGTGAAGTGTCTATTCATGTCTTCTGCCTGTTTTTTAATTGGATTATTTGTCTTTTTGTTGAGGTTTTGAAGTTTTCTGTAAGTTCCACAGATAAGTCCCTTGTCAGATATGTCATTGCTGAATATTTTTCCCAATCTGTAGGTTCTCTTTTGACTCTTTTGGAGAAGTCTTTGGAAGCACATGAAAATATAATTTTTAAAAGATCCTATTCATCTAGTTTCTCTTCTGCTGTTTGTGCATTTTGGGTTGTGGTTTATAGTCTATTTATATCGGCTGTATAATAGGGCCCCTAAATTAGCCCCTAGTTTTTCCTTGAGAAACTTTATAGTTTTAGGTTTCACATTTAAGTCTTTGATCCATCTGCAGGTAGTTTTTGTGTATGGTGTGAGGTAAAGATCTTGTTTCATTTTTCTGCAAATAGATATCCAGTTTTGCCAGCACCATTTATTAAATAGTCATTCTCTTCCCCATTTAATGGATTTCGGCCGTTTGTCAAAGATCAGCTGACCATAGGTCAACGGATCTGTCTCTGGGTTCTCAATTCTGTTCCGTTGGTCTATGTGTCTCTCATTATACCAACACAAGGCAGTTTTGACTGCTGTGGCTGTATAGTAGGTTTTGAGATCCAGCAGTGTGAGACCTCCTATTTTGTTGCTCTTCTTCAATAATGCTTTACTTATCTGAGGTCTCTCTCTTTTTCATATAGTTAGTAGTTGGTTTTTCCATATCCTTCAAGAATGTTGATGGGATTTGGATTGGGATTGCATCAAATGTATAGATTGCTTTGGGTAGAATTGACATTTTAACAATGTTCAATCTTCCTATCCAGGAACATGGTATATTCTTCCATTTATGTAGATCTCTTATGGTTGCTTGAAGTAGTCTTTTATAGTTTGCTTTGTACAGGTCTTTTGTGTCCCTAGTCATGTTTATTCCCACATATTTAATTTTTTTGGTAGCTATTGGTTGAGTCCAACTTGATGACATATAACAACAACATTGTAAATGGTACTGATTTCCTTACTTCTTTTTCAGCAATCTCTTTGCTGGTGTAGAGGAATCCAACTGATTTTTGATTGTTGATCTTGTATCCTGTCACAATGCTAAATATCTCAATTAGTTCCAGTAGATTTTTCACTGGGTCTTGGGTTTCCTAGGTATACGATCATATCATCAGCAAATAGGGTTAGTTTGACTTCTTCCTTATCAATTTGGATGCCTTTGATTTTGCGTTGAATGCCTAATTGCCATGGCTAGGACTTCCATTACAGTGTTAAATAGAAGTGGTGATAGAAGGCATCCTTCTCTGGTTCCTGTTCACAAGGGGAATGGTTTCAGTCTTTCTGTCATTGAGAATGGTGTTGGCTGTTGGTTTTGCATATATGCCCTTTATTATGTTGAGGAATGTCCCTTTTCTTCCTATTTTGCTGAGAGTTTTGATCAAGCATGGGTGCTGGATTTTATCAAATGCTTTTTCTGCATCGATTGATGGGATCATGTGGTTCTTTTCCTTTGTTTTATTTATGTGGTAGAGGACTTTGATTGTTTTTCTAATGTTGACCCATCCTTGCATACCTGATATGAACCCCACTTGCTCTTAATGAATGATTTTCTTTATATGTTGTTGGAGTCCATTGGCTAGGATTTATTGAAGATTTTTGCATTTATATTCATGAGGAATATTGGTCTGTAGTTTTCCTTTTGAGTGATGTCTTTGCCTGGTTTTGGTATCAAAGTTATGCTTGTTTCGTAAGATTAATTAGGGAGGATTCCATCCTTTTCTGTGTTTTGGAATAGTTTGAATAAGATTGGTGTCAGTTCCTCTCTGCATGTTTGGTAGAATTCTCTGGTGAAAC